CAAATCCCTAATCTTAAAGAATATTTACTAAAATTTTTGAATTTTTTAAAAAATTTAAACACAGTTAACTTTTAAAAGGAGATGAAGAACTTTTACTAAATTATGTTATTTAATAATTTTAATATAATTAAATTAGCAAATCCAAGTTACTAAGGACAATTTAACCAAGATTACTTAAGTTTAAAAATGTTTAACTTAGATGAATTTAATTAATATTAATTTGTAAAATATTGTTAAGTTTGCTAAAAAGGATACACTATTTCCTAAAATTGTAATTAAATTTTATATTGATTAAAACATAGCTAAATTTATATATTTTTTTTATTTAATTAAAAAGTGGAGGATTGTGTTTAGCTTATTGATAATTGTTCAATAGGATCATTTATATAAATTTAGACTTAATAAATTCAACTAATAAACCCTTGGATTTCATATTTAAGGAATATTCCTACTTAGTAAATCTGTTTAATGTGCAATGAAGGATACTACGTATCAAGTGACTAGTAATAATGTTTTCCTTCTATTTTTGATATGCTATGTTACTCAAGCAAAATTGATTAAATGAATAATTAATTATGCCTCTAATGTTATGATTAATATGTTTTTAATTTTAATGCATAGAAGTGCTAAAAGTAGTTTTGCTATAATTAGGTTAGAAATTTATATTAAATTTTTTAAATTTATGAATTTTATTTAAATAGCTACAAAATTGCCGTTAGTGCTATTATTACTTAGATAATACAGCTCCATTAGGTTAAATATACTAATGTACTTAATGTGTATAAGGATATATGCCTACTATTTATGGTTGTATCTAATGCCCATAAGGATGTTCATCCTGCTATTAAGGTTTAAATTAACGCTTTTTTTTAATTATTAAATTAATTATCATTTATTACAATACAGGAAACAAAGAATATAATTTTACAAGCTATTTAATATATTCTATGCCTTAAATAAGCCTTTAGGAAAGACTCAATTATTATAACAATTTTTAATTTAGAGATTTATGTATTTCTTGTTAAGAAGGATTCATATTTGATTATACCAATTAAATATGTACTCAGTTGTTATGTGGCAATAATTGTAGTACTTGTGTAAATAAACAATCTAATCCTCTTTGTTTAGAATGTGATTTGCAAGGAATTTAAAATTAAATTAAAGACATTTTATACTTTATAAGTATGCTTTATTACTAATAGCCATCAATACCTGATATAAAATAAATGATTTCTTTTAATTAAGAAAGAACAGACTGTGTTTTATGCCCCATAACGTAATATATAATAAAAATTTCAAAATTCATTAATAAATCTTTTTTCCTTAACAAAAATTTTTATTTCTATTAGATGCTTAGCTTGCTCAAGATAAAATCAATTTTTTTCTTCTCAGTATGACTTATATGATGCTTAGTGTTTAAGCTGTAAAAGTAGTGAAGAAGCAAAGTTTGTAAATTAGGGATATGAAATAAGATTTGATAGATAAAGAATGAAATGTCTTTATTGCAAATAAGAAGATAACCTTTGTGTTTATACTAAATAAAGAACAATATACATGTATTGTGGTTCTTTAAAAGATTAAATAGGAAAAGGTACTAAAGCTTAACCTACTAACTATAATAGATTATTTGAAATTGATTTCGATGAATTAATAGTATCTGATGAATATCATTCTTAGTAATAGGCTTATGTGTGGTATAATGAATTATAATTAAAGGAACTTTATGTAAAAGTAATAATAAATGACAGTTAGTGCTTAGAAATTTAATAGACTTAATTTAAAACAAAATTACAAAATTATATAAAATCTCTTGAGATAATATCCTTAGAAATAACTACAAATTAGATTTCTTAGATTCCAACTTCATAATTAATTCAAGTTTCAACAACAAAATTTAGTGGATTTAATCAGGTTACAATTTCTAACTTGTAAATTTCTCTGAATATAAATTCAAAAAATTAAAACTATGGATTTAATATACAAAATTAAAATCTCATATCTGCTAATTTTACAAACGTATATTTTTTAAGACCGTCTGCAGACTATTTAATAAATAGTAAAAACATTCTTCAAATAAACATTTTCAATTTAAACAATACATTGGTTCTAAATAATGTTTTATTTTATGGGTAATACATCTACAATTCATAGATGTTTCAGGTGGTTTATCTGGCTAATACCAATCTAAATTTTTATTTTGAAAAATTAGTTCTCAATTAGGTAAATTATTGGCTAAAATCAATATTCATATTTATTTTTTCATTTATATTTAAATTATTGATTAAAAGGTATACTTTTATGGATCAACTTTTATATCAAAGATTAGTTCTCAAAATATCAACACGTAGATAAGTTATTTAAATATAACTAACTGTAGTTATGACTATTATTCATCCTTTTTTGATTATACTCTTATGCAAGCTAATTTATAATCCATATTTAATGCCAATTAAGTGATGCTTTAGTAAAGTCTTATAACTAATTCATCATTTTTATTTGCAGGATACAATTTTTCAACGTTTTTTATTTCTTCAATTTAGATTCTTGATAATTAAATTCTAGATTAAAGCTAATTTTATCATTATGGAGTTATAATATCAAATACTTTTGAAATAAGTAACTTGATGGTTTAAGGTAATACTATGCAGCATTATACTGTATTTTAATAACCTTAATTAAACTAAAAAGAAGTTAATGTGAAAAGCATATTTGATAAAATAGATTTTATATAAAACACCTATATATTTGATTCTAATTCAATTTAGAGCACGTGTGCTATGGTTATATTAATGCTGTATAATTCTAAAAATGTTGTCACAATTAAAAATATTTAAATAGAAAATAATAATTATATAGGAGATTAAAATTTTTATTTCCCTCATTTCTAATTTTATAAATTAAATGTCATAAATTTTTAGTCAGTAAAAATGCTATAAAATCTAAACGCTCCTTTAATAAGAGTAAAAGAAATAAACTATGCTCAATTTTATGACATTTAGATAATCTAACAATAACCTAGTGAATATTGCTATAACACATTAATAGAAATCATATTCATATTTTTTTATCTAGACTTCAACACAATTTAAATAGCTAATTATCATTCTATGGTTAACATCATCTATATTTAATTTAACTATATAGATACTTAACTAATTTAGCAACCTGAAAATCAACAATATCTATTTTATGGCGGAAAGTTCATTGATTTCTACTTAGTTAACTCTCAGCTAATTTATGAGAAATAAATTTAAAATAATTTCCCCATAATAATTAAATCTTAAAGCCTTAATTCGATTTCCTTTACCAACTTAAATATAATAAACAATCACATAAAGACTGTAAATATTTTACTTTATAATTTAATGATTATAATTTTTATTTAAAAATATAGAATAATAAAATTGGAGGAAGTGGAATATTTATTGATGCAATAAATTCTATAGTCACAATAAATTAAAGCAATTTTACTAATAATTTGGGGACATAAAGAGGTTATGGCCCATTATTAATAATTTCTGATTTTTTATTAATCTCAGAATGTATTTTTTAAAATCCAGCTTACCAAAATATAGACATTCAAATTTATTATCAAAAAAGCATAGATATTTAAGGAGGGTTTGCAAACATTTAAGCAAACATTTTAAAAATAGTTAGTAGTCAATTTTTGAATGGTAAAGCTACTTAAGGAGGTGGTATTTATATCAAACCATTCTTTTAATCTAATATTTTACTGAAAGACATACAATTTATAGATAATTGGAGTGTTTCGTAAGAAGATATTTCCAGCCAACTTGGAGGAGCATTATATTTAGATTTATCTTTATCATATAAAACTGACATGTTAATAGAAGACTCTGTCTTTTAAAATAATATTGCTGGATTTTAAGGTGGTTCAATATATGTATAGTTAGATTATAAAAAACATGTAATTATTTTAAATAGAGTCAATTTTACAGAAAATTTAAGTTTATAAGGAAGTTCAATTTTTAGCTTTTAATAAAATATGTAATCTTCTTTAATTTTGAAATAAGTTAATTTCACACACACCTATAAAAATAGCTCCTCAATAATAAATTATATCAGCAAATAAAACAATAAAAATCTTCAAAAGAATGTGACAAATTTAGCACATTTTGTATTATCTGGTTTGAATTTTGTTGAAATGTATTCAAACATTTATTGCTTTAATTAGCTTAACATTGCAAAAAATTAAGGTTAACTCATAGTTTCTAAAGTAGATATTGTAGATTTCTAAAGCTTATATTAAATAACGAATACTATAATTGTGAATGATATTTTAGGTTTTTATAGCTAAGTAATTTCCTATTAATAGATTATTAGCTTTTTTGGTATAAAAAATATTCTAATTCAAAATTCAACATACTTCTAAAACTAAATACTTCCAAACAATTTTACAATTTTTGATAAATCCATAAATTCGATTGTTAGTTTTGATGCTGAATAAATTTTGATCATTGATTCTACATTTTTTTAAAACATTTGTCTATACTGCTAGAATGGTAATTTGTTTATTTAGTCTTCTTAAGCTTAAATTTATTATAGCAGTTTCTAAAACAATATAGTTTTAAACGGAGGAGGAGTTTACTTTAAGCCTCTTCAATAATCTAAGTAAAAAAATTATCATTTAGAAGTTGAATAGAGCAATTTCACTCAAAACATAGCTTATAATAATGGAGGTGGATTATATATAGAAGAGAGCTCTGCTTTAATTTAAAACTGCTCATTTTCTAATAATAAAGCCTATTTATATGGTGGAGCTTTATTACATAATATTTCTAATAATTAAATAGCTTAATAATTATTTAATAACTAAGTGGTTTTATTAAAGAATAATATTTTTCAAAACTAAGCAAGTATAGCAGGAGCATACTATTCAGTTTAAGGCTTGTTTCCTCAATACTTTTACACTAATAACACTATCAATTAAAATTAAGCCAACATATTTGGAAAAGATCTAGTAGGATACGGAGCAGGTATCTAAATAATTATTAATCATATATAAGTAGATTACTAGAATTTTATTTATTCTCACCA